ACATACTAACTTTACAGAATCCTCAGAAGGATCGTACTTCAGTGCTCTAAGTATCCTAAATTTAAGCTGTTCTAAGTTGCAATTTCTTGGCACATGTAGGGGTCGACTCCTACCCCCAAAATAGCTTGGCGTGAAATTGGTGTCCACTTTTAATTCACCTCCATACATAAGCACAAAGGTCGCACCACGTCCACTCATTATTGATGTACTCGTACGTATCACTATGCTAAATGAACAAAATACAAAATACTTAATGTTTTAATTATTCTAAAGACTACTAAAATATAATTAAAATTCATTGAATTTTAATTATACGAAAAGACTTCATTACAATTTAGCTCTTATAAATTTTTTTTAAAGAATTATAAATTAAATAAACAATTATTATATATTAACAAAAATATTGCTTTTCAATTTATAGCAATATACAAAGACTAATTCGTTATATCTACCAATTTTTAACAAAATCTATGTTCTATATCAACTTATCTCTAGTTCTGTCAAACAATATTACAACTAACTCTTGCAAAATTAGACAAAGTAATAGATCTACCAAAAAATTTGAGAAATAAACTAAAAAGACTCAAATAAGATCATTTTTAACCAAATTTCTACAACACCTCAAATACTAAACATAATAAACCGCAAATATTAAAAATAAAACCTTACCTAAACACTTGATGGCGAGATCGGCGACTCCAAATTTTCCAATGGCGACGGCTGCAGAAGGGGAAAGTGAAGGAAATGAGATCGGGAAGGATTTTGGGTATTAAAGTATTAGCATAAAGTCGCCCGTTAAATGGGCGACTTATAAGTCGCCCGTTAAACGAGCAATTTAATCTCGCCACATCATCACCACGTCGGATCTTGACTATTCTAGTCAAAGCATAAGTCGCCCGTTTAACGGGCGACTTTGCCTATTTTTAAATTTTTTTTAAAACATGCTTAAGCTCTTAATATAATTTATAATTATGCTTAGTCTTAAAATTTTCCCTAATACGTATTAGATCACGTCTTCCTTCTATAGTCAATTAATTTTGCCACCAGCGCCGCCGCCTCCACCTCCACCACTACCTACCCCGCCGTCGCTTCCGATGCCTCCACCAGCTCCTTCGCCAGCTCCTCCACCTACGCCTCCACAGCCGCCGCCGCCGAATCCTCCACTGGCTCCACCACCAAACCCTCCGCCTGATCCACCACCAATCCCTCCGCCGGAACCGCCACCACCACCAAATCCACCTCCGCCGCCGCCTCCGAGCCCACCTCCAGCTCCAGCTCCAGCTCCACCATCGAACCCACCACCATCACCACCCCCAAGACCACTACCACTACCGCCTCCAAGCCCACCACCAACACCGCCGCCAAAGCCGCCGCCAGCACCACCACCTAAACCACGATGGAACCACTTCTGCTCCTCAAGGCCGCCATTACCCGCTGAAAGCTTCCTGCTTGCCGAGGAAGCCAACAGAAGGGAGGCCAGAAGAGCAAGGAGAAAGAAGATTATACTTCCACATCTATTACTCTTTCCCATGTTGGGAAGTACGTAGACTCAGCTTCGGTGATTTGAGCTAAGAGGATCGAGGCACAGACTTATATATAATGCTTTCTGCATGGGAAGATGGCCGACGAAAATCATAATTTTTATCAGAATTAATGCACTCACATCGATCAACTACCAATCTCTACATGGTGAAATTAATGAACCGCGACTTTTGCTTGCAAACTTATATACATTTAGTCAAAAGACTTTGGAGAAGTAAAGAAAGATTGGTGCCCTTACTGATCTATTATTTCATACTTGCATTAATATCATGCACGTTATCTACTCGTGATCAAGTAACTCATGAGGCTTAAAAAGTGTCTAATTGGCCATTTTTTCTTTAGAGATCAGATTAATACATTTGACTTTAATTTAAAATTGTTATAGAATCACACCAAATCATAGGGGGGAGAGAGAAATAAGTTTGAGTACTAGAGCCCTGTATTTGGTATCCATATCCACACCCAATCACTTAGGTATGGGTATCCCCACTAAGTGAAAATGCGTCTTTATCATCGGACTTTATTGCTCTTAAAATAAAATTTTAGTACAAAAATTCTTAGGAAGCCGTCCCAAACGAAGTATTAGTTACCGGTCAATTTTCATATAAATTTATAAGGTGAAGGCAGAGCTCAAGAACAAAAAAACCTATATTTACATATTATTTTATTGAAAATATGTAAGAGTGATTTTTGTTTTTTATTATTATTTTTTTAGAATGAGTAATGAAAATGTTATATTAGATATCTCTTTTAACTCCAATGCATGCAGTAGGTTCAATAAATGTTGAAATATATGCCCTCCTAAAATAATATCAATAATTACGGGTGGACTGAGGAGAGCTCAGGAAGAATAAATGGCCAACTTTGATATTTCTTTTCTTAATAGAATAATCATTTTTCTATTTTGCCTCTTCAATAAATACATTTGCCTAAATTTTAATTTTTTTTTTCCTATTTCTCCTCTAATGTTATCATGCTTCACTCGTGTTTATTCTCACTCAAATCATAATAAAATATGTAATAAATTTTTTTAGTAAAAATTATTTTTTTACTAAAGAATTATTTCAAAAAACAATAAAAAAAATCATTCCAAATGAAACCTTTGAAATACACATAAGAAATACACATAATTAATATTTATTTTCATTATTATTCAACATAATTATTAGAGAACAAACAGGCTAAATAGGATAATGACCACACAAATATGTGGACTGATATTCAAAAGTCCACAGAATCTCAAATTAATATTGCTTATAGTCAATTATTGATACTTAATACGTATTAGATCATGTCTTCCTTCTACGGCAGTTCACCTCCAATACCGCCACCGCCACCGGCGCCGCCGCCTCCACCTCCACCCAAACCTCCACCACTACCTACCCCGCTGCCTGCCCCGCCGCCGCTTCCGAAGCCTCCACCGGCTCCTCCGCCAGATCCTCCACCTGCGCCCCCACCACCTCCGCCTCCGAACCCACTTCCTGCTTGCCGAGGAAGCCAACAGAAGGGAGGCCAGAAGAGCAAGGAGAAAGAAGATTCTACTTCCACATCTATTACTCTTTCCCATGTTGGGAAGTAGACTCAGCTTCAGTGATTTGAGCTAAGAGGAGGCACAGCCTTATATATAATGCTTTCTGCATGGGAAGATCAAAGATGGCTAGCAGACGAAAATCATAATTTTTATTAGAATTAATGCGCTCGCATCCATCAACTACTAATCTCTACATGGTGAAATTAATGAACCGCGACTTTTGCTTGCAAACTCTGACAGCTTCAGTTATATATATAGTCTGCGAAGACTTTGGAGAAGTAAAGAAAGATTGATGCCCTTATTGGTCTATTATTGCATGTTTGCATTAATATCATGCACGTTATCCAGTGGTGATCAAGTAACTCATGAGGCTAAAAAAGAGACCAATTGGCCATTTTTTTCTTTAGAGATCAGAAAGTCAGAAGTTCTAATGAGGTTGCACTGTATTATTATATATGCGGATGCTATTGATATCTCTGACTTTAATTTAAAATTGTTATAGAATCACAACAAATCATATGGGGGAGAAAGAAAGAGAGATAATTCTAGAGAAATAAGTTTGAGTACGAGAGCCGTGTATTGGATATCCATATACACACTAACACACCTAACCACATAGGTATGGGTACGCCCGAGGACTCGTTGGTGGGTACTCAATATTGGGGGATAAGCCGATTTACATTGCGATCAATGTATGTCGTATATTACTGCATTTCTCACTACGCATTGCACATCACTGAATCGTATTGCGACCACAGTAAATTATGTTATGTGGCTTATTAAAAGTTTGCAATCATAACAAAAGGACAACAAGCCTCAAGACCATCAGTATGCGGCGGGGCTGCGTTAAAAAAAAACGAGAAAAGTCGATGGCATGGGTGAGTACGACATCCCAAAGGTCATTATTAGCGGCGTAAGTGGGCAAAGCCCGCCCGCTTAGAGCATGGATACCCAACCAATACCTCTAGTAGGGCTTTGTTGAGTACATAAAATTGTACAGACTACGCTCACATTTGATTCTTTATTTATAGATTTGGGTTAGAACATCACTACAGGGAAATCACCTATTTCCGGCGGCTTTTTTCGACGAAAATTGAACATTTTCCGGCGGTTTTGTAGTTTACTCTTATATAATATTAAAATGAAAATTAATTAAATTGTTAATCTAAGTTTTAATATTTTTTTTAATACATTTAAATAGTAAATTTTTATTCATTTTCATTAATTTTTTAAAAGCCGCCGGAAATTCCGCCGGAACAAGCCGTCGGAAAAGCGCCGGAAAGCCGCTGGAAATGTGGCCGCCGGAAAGCCGCCAGAAAATTCTTTCGAAAATCAGTGATTTTCCTGTAGTGCATGAGCAACATAGAACCGGCTACATATATGATTATATAAAATTTAGGAGAAAACATTAGGTATTTTGTTGCCTAATTAGAATGCTCAACTTATAAAACTTATCAAAAGTTTCTCATAAGAAATATATAACTTGCCCACTTGAGTAGTTGCTAGGGCCTAATTGATAGGTTGTACCTACTTATTTAGAGCAAGTTCATAGTCATAGTTACATGCTTGAGGTGAGTTTCTATAAAGTTGAGATATAGCAAATTGAGTCGACTTAGCTTGAACCACGTCAAGTTAGGTTAAACTGGGCTGACTTTGCTTGAACCCAATTTTTTAGATATTTGATTATACATTTAGTTTCTTGATTTTAATATGTTTTTGGAGATTTATTTTGAAACAAGAATAAGAGAATAAAATATTATTTATTAATTATTAAGAAAATCATCATGCATATTTAATTTAATGTTAGATATTTATCAATCAATTTAATTTGGACTTCAACCATTATTCTTTTGTCCATGTCATAAGAAAATTATCATACACATATGAGATTGAAGCCCTTCATTTAAATAAATTTCCTTCATCTTCTAACTTCTTGAACTATGCAACTCTCTTTTCTTGTTGAGAATGGAGGTTCCAAAGATAAATATATATTAATGATGGAATCTATCATATTCTTCATTTAGCTAAATATAACTAAAATACTTTATCATATTCTTTAATTGTCTCAATATAATTTTTTATTATAAACCAAGTAACTAAATAAGTCTTTAGATTATATTTGATTAACCATTTGTGCTCCATTGCTTGCTTGTGGCTAACTTATTTTTGAATTATTAAGGATGTTAAAAGTAAATTTTTATTAAAAAAAAAAAATCACGAATATGAGATCGGCAAATTATATGATATAAAAATAAGATCATGACTTATTAAATAAACTAAAAATTTGAAATTGTTTGTAAATAATATTATTTATTTAATTTAATTAGTTAACGCTAATATGAAATATAACTTAATCAAGTTTGGATTCAATTCAAATTAGCATAAAATTAAATTAAAATATAATAAATAAATAAAAAATCTTAGGATGGCCTTTGTAACTGGCCCACCCATCTTGGATAGTTTTGAGGCTCGGTCCAGCTCGATTGTGTGGCATGGCTGGCAACATCGAAAACTACATATTCTCTGATCGGATATAAACTGAGCACCTCTGAGATTGATCGATTGTGTGGAATTTGTTTCTTTTTGCTCCGACGGTTTGTCGTGATCGTCATCATTGGGAAAGGTAACATAATCTCTTACTCTTATGCTCGGCGTCGTTATAGTCATGCAATTAATATGTCCTCTAATCTATTGTTGTTGTAATTCATTTATTTAGTATGGGGTTTAAGTTGTATGGTTTTGTGGTTGCAACGAGTTATTTGCACTACCTGTCTAAGTTGATGAAGACGGTGATTGTTCTAATACCAAATTTGACTGAGTCTTTATTTAAACACCTTAATTAGCATTGGTTTTAAGCTTCTAGGGGTTTTAGGGTTCTTGATGATTTCTTAGAGCTTTTTAGCCATAAGTATGATTTAACTTTAGAGAGATTTAGTAAATCCTGTAAACCCAGATTTAGTAAATCCAGAGGGTATTAAATCCTAAAAGTTGTTTGATATGACATATGTTAAATCCTGATAAATTTTGAGAATCTGTTTGACAACATAATTAAGAATTTAAGACGGTTGGTTCATTTATAAATTAAATTTAATGTAATTTGAATTTAATTTGTATGTTAAATATGACTTACATATTAACTTTAATAAGTTATAATGATAAATAATATTATTAGGAGCTAAATTAAGTATTACAAATTATCAATTTAGTTATTTAAGTGTTAATTATCAAATTACTTATCGAATTACTGATTATCTAATTATATTTTGGAACCCAAATTAATTTGTTAATTATTTTTGAAAATTAGAAATTATGTTATGAAAACTCATAACAAAGATTTAATTAGTTATTTAGGTATTATTTAATTAAATTTAATTATTAAAAATATTATTAATTATCTCATTGATCCTTTAAACAGTTAAACTACTAATTAATTATTTAATTATTATTTACAATATTATGTATATAATTAATTATTTTTATTTTAAATTATATAAATAAACTAATTTAATGACAAATTGTAGTAATAATTATTTATTTAAGCTAAATTAATTACTTAATTATATTACAAATTGTTTAGTTAATCTAAATAATTATATTAATTATGTTAATTTCGTTTCATTTTTATTTGGTAGGCTGTCTAGGGTTTTCTTTTCCCTTTTACCCGCGTTTCGTTGTCGTCGCTTTTCCTCGTCCTCATTTCTTCGTGGTTGCTTCGGTTTCGCGTGCCGTGCTCATCACGACCGGAGCTCGCTTGCTACTTCGCCTCCTTCGAAGGCCTCGGATCGGAAGTCACGACGGTAGCTCGCTTGCTGCGTAGGTTCGCCTCGGAAGTCACGACGGGAGGTCGCTCGCTGCGTAGGTAATCTTCGCCTCCTCCTTCCTTTCACGACGGAGCTTGCTCTTTCCCAAGCTCGTAAATCTGTAGTACGTAAATTCTTAAATCTGCCGAACCGTCGGATTTACTAAATGCCGGATTTGTACCGTAAATCCGTAAACCCGGGATTTACTTGGGCTCGAAAACCGTTTGGCCGTAAATCCGGCCTAAATCCGAGCGTAAATCCGATACCAAACAGACCCGAATTCAGGGGTTGATGATGAAATCAAAATAGTGTTTCAACTTCAGACAGTAAGAGAAGCTGGACTGTATCTGTGCAAATTTGAGATACGCAGAAGTAGAATGAAGGGTTGTTGGGTTTGAGAGGTAATCCGAGAATAGGAGAATCAAAGAGATAGATCGGACATGATCTAGAGAAAACTAGACGTAAGAAAGTGAGGAATAGAATAAGGGAGAATAAATACAATTTATTTCATTCAAATCCAAGGGCCCTCCCTGTTCAAAGTAGGATTTATAAAATTTGAATTTAGGAAATGCCAATGGTATAAATATTGAGAATATTTGTTTTTGCCCAGTTCTTAAATCTTTTCATATGTTTGCCTATTTTGTTTTAGTTTGTAGGATTTAGGGATTAGAAGGTTTCAACAAAGGGAAGGAAACAAGAGGAGAGGGTTGGCGCCAGGATGACATTTGAGAGAAGATTCTAGAAGGGAAGATGCCGAGGTGTTAAGTAGATTGAATGTATCAAACAAACAAAAGTTATTGAGAAAACGAGGGTTTTAATAGAGAGGAGATTCAAGGATTTAACTTTTTTGTAGGATTTAAAACTATCATTTTTTCTATTTGGCGGGATTTAGGTTAAATTATGTTTAAATCATGCTCAAATATATTGATGTAAGTTTATGTAGAATTTAAATTGTCATTTTTTGTTGTTTGACAATATGTTTATGTCTAAATTTTGCTCTAATCAACCTATTATTTGTTATTTGATGGTATTTAATATTAATAAATAAATATATTTTATTTTGTTTACATTGTGCGTCATATTTAAAATGGCACGTGCCACGTTGCATCATGCGCTATGGTCATAGCTCTTCCGGGAACTTTGTGCTGTGGTGCTTTATTTGCCATTTACAAGTATGGATTGATTATTAGGTGAAATATTTTTTTATGATATAAATAAGTGTAGGGGATGTTCAGTGAAAGTATTTTTGTTTGTAGATTCAATAGTTTGTTTAATGGATGCAAAGGCTGATTCAGTTGATTGGATTTTTCATTGATTGAGATGCTTTCTTTTTTATTAAACTTGTGATGGCCAAGTAGAAGCGGTTTAGGTCTAGACTCAATTTGGGTTGGAGTGTTTGGATTTGGACTAGAGTTGTATGATGATGGGATGAGAGATAAATAACGACAATTTAGGAGGAAAAATTATTTGGGAATGATATTTTTTCCTTAAAAATGAGTAGTAACAAAGTAATGATATTTTTCATTGAAAGTGATATCAATGGACACATATACATTTTCTTGTGATAGGAATGTAGCATTTATACCTTTTTTGTTTGGGTTTAATAATCAATGAAGACACATTTAGTAATTAGGGTTCAAGCTTTTTTTTTTTTTTTAATTTTTGGAAATTTGTATGAATAAAGGCATCACTTTCAAATATTGTAGGGAATGAGATTGTTAAAAACATTGATATGAGAAAAGAATTTGTTTAGGATTTGTACGATTCTTAAACCCAATTATCTTTGTAGGTAATAATTTTATGGTGTGGGAAGGTGTTAAAATTGCTGCCTCCCTAATATTATTTTGGGTTTTTTTTTAAGAAGAGAACCCTTTGGTAGCAAGTGTCGGTTCTTTCATTCAACTACTTCATTTTACTGGGGATGTGTACACACAGGAGGTCTTGTGTATTATTTCTTTTTTTTCTTAAAGTATGAGTAGAAAAATAGTTAGAATAATATCTGACATTTTTAAATTGGACTCATTTAATTTCAACACTAAATTAATTTTGATTATATCAAAAGAGGTGTAAAAGATGGTACTCACATCACTTTTTATTTATTGTAAAAAAATGAATACTCATTGATATAGGACAAAATATTGATCCCAAAAGATCTTAGATGTAGAAAATGATCCAATTGTCATTATGAACGAGGGAAAAGAAATAAGAGTTTTTGTGTTATTTATTGAAAAGTTGGTATATTTGTGTTTTGCTAGTTCACAAACATCACAATGAAATTCTTTGATATTGATTTCCTTGAATAATAAACGAAACATGATTTTGAGAGTAATAAATGATGGGTGGCCAAGGCATAGGTGTGTTGAAGCAGATGTTTTTCTTCATTGGATTCATACCTGTTAACGGCGAATGACGCACCATGGCGCAAAGGTCTATTTGGAGCCATGGCGCATAGCGCACGGTGCAGCGCGCGCTATTTTGAACATGGCGCAAGCTATATAAAAATATAAAATAATAAGCATCAATATGAAATATTATTAAAAATGAAAGACAAGCTATCATAATAATAAAAGATAACCATAACGTATATAAGTTCGACTAAGTAACATCCAAATATCTCATAATTCAAATATTATAATATTTTTTTAAAAGATCAAATATGAATTTAATCTACTTTTCTTGGGAATCATCATCATCAGCAAATATTAAGAAAAGCTTCATTATCTTCTTCAACATTGTCTCCTACTTCATTATCCTCTTCATCACCCTCCTCATTATCATTCTCAATAGCAACATCATGCATAATTGAAGATTCTTTCTATCTCCCTTTAGATATTTCTCGAATATTATAGCTTTTATCATAAACACCAGTAGCTTTAGCAACACTTGTCCAAGTTAAATCTTTCTCTCCAGCAATAAAGTCATTTTGTTCATCAGACTCATCATCTAATTTTACTGTTAGCCATTCATTTGCATCATCTATCTCAATCAAAGAAATATGATCAATGACATTATGATGATTGAATCTCCGAATCAGTGCTCTATTATATTTCACATTAAATGGAATCCCAGCATCGTACATCCATCTACTGAACACTTGAACATCCCTTCCCCTCATTTATTTTTTAGCTGCATCTATTTCTTTGTTAAACTGACCTTTTCTATGCTTTACTACATCTTCAGAATTTGGTGTAAGGAAAGTATCTAATGGACCTTTAGGTAGTGATGTTTTGAAGATAGATGTAGATGTCGATCATTGACTAGATGTGTTAGATTTATTTGTCCGCAACATTTTGGATGGTTTAGCAACTAAAATATCATCTGTCATCACATCAAAGTCTTCTCCTTCTTCTTCAGTAAGGTTGATATTTGATATGTCATTAAACTGTTCCTTTAAATTTTTTTTTTTCAACATGGATGCCTTAATTTCAGACTTCACATGCTCGGGATAGTTAGAGCAAGACCTTGCATTCCTAAAACCCCCAACGAGGTGTTGTTTGTGGCGTGTAATTCCTCCTTTTGTTATTTTACCACAAAAAATGCATGCCACACTGTTGTTGTCGGATTCATTTGTTAGTATAGCATATTTCCATGCTGGATCTTTTTTTAAAGATTGAACTGAATCTGACATTTTATGATCACCTAAAAGCAAACAAATTTAGATAAAAGAAACATAATATTGTCCAAGAAATATAATATGGGGGCTGCCGGGGGTCTAAGGGGGCGCTGCCTCCTGGCGGGGTTCGACCTGTATGGAAAATAGGAAGCGGTACCGAGCGTGTACCTAGTTGTACCGAGCTGTACCGAGCGGTACAGAGCATGTAACTAGCGGTACCGAGCATTTACATAGCAGTACCGAGCGGTATCATGCATGTACTTAGCAATACCGAGCATGTACCTAGTTGTACCGAGCTGTATCGAGTGGTACAAAGCATGTAACTAGTGGTACCGAGCATGTACCGAGCGGTACCGAGCATGTACCGAGCATTTACATAACGGTACCGAGCGGTATCATGCATGTACTTAGCAATACCGAGTGTGTACCGAGCTTGTACCTAGTTGTACCGAGCTGTACCGAGCGGTACAGAGCAAGTAACTAGTGGTACCGAGTGGTATCCAGCATATACATAGCGGTACCGAGCATTTACTTAGCAGTACCGAACATGTACCTAACGGTACCGAGCATACCTGTTAAGTTCTAAATTCTTGTGAGAAATAGCCGTGCAAAACAACAGAGCTGTGCGGAACAGACGGAGGTTGCAAATCAGAGTCAGCTGGTAAGATTTTTTATTGGAACAGACGAAGGAGGGGGCGGATTTGGCAGAAGCACTACTCTGCGGGACGATTCGGCGGAAACAACGACTTTAACTTCGGGACAGATTCGGCTGGATTCGGCGGAAGTAGTGAATGCAGCAAATAGAAAACAAAAAACCTTCGACTTCGGGATAGATTCAGCGACCTCGACTTAGAGACTGCGGGATGTGTTCGGCGGATGTAGCAAACAGAATATCTTTCGTGAAATTAGGGCAATGAATAGTCGTCTATCTTAAAATATAGATATATTTTTAAATATAAAAAATATTCATAAGTATACGGAAATTTAAAAACAATTTGGCGCGCTATTTTGCGCCGTGCGCAATGCGCCATGGTTCACATGTGGCGCAAATAGCGCGTGCTATTTTAAACACATGCGCCTTGCCATGAACATGGGGCCGTAGGTGCGCCGCGCCGCGCCTTGCGCCATGGCGCGCGCTATTTTGCGCCATTGACAGCTATGATTGGATTTAAGGAATTTTTGAGTGGAGAGGTACATTGCTAGTTGTATGGAGTTTATTTTATCATTGCATTCCTCAAGAGGGTATAAAGTATCTCTTTCTCTAACAAGCCCAACCATCTTTCTCTTGCCCTGCTCCTAAAAAACACATTGTGAAGGATGAAGCACAGTTTGCACTTGGAAATTATCAACTTCTCATTCAACTTGTGTTTTTCTATTGATGATTCTTATGTTTAAAGTTTTCTTGAATCCTTGAAGGAATTGACATAATTCTGTAAGCTGATGAAGCATAAGATAAGCACATTTACGTCAGTGGATATCCAAGAATCTTGGAATATAAACTTTTGAACTCTATTGGAAATTAATCTGCAGTTTATATATTTAGAAGCAGAAAATTACTTATTATGACAATTAGGTAGCAAGGTTTTGCTAATGCATTTTTTTGTTGTATATGTGGAAGGAGCTGATCAATCTCTATATGCCTTTTGACCGATATATCTTATTACTAAATTGTTTTTGTCTTATGAATTTTTAGCTATATGTCTGGCTCTTCCTCAATTTTATGTGCGACAATGGGATGTAAAAGAGTTGGTCTCATATTAGTTGTTTTGGGATGTTCCTCTGCAATCATAAGAGAATCGTCTCTTTACATGATAAACTTCTTGTGAAATATCTCTAAAATGCTTTCCTAGGTCTATTGCTGGATAAAGGGATGTAATTATAGGTTTCGCATTGATCTTTTTTGTTATTTGTGAGCTCCGTGAAGACCATATCATAGTGATTGGCTACCATTCCAAGCAATACAGACATTATCACATATTCTATAGACATGATTGATGTTTCTAACTTATAATAAACTGCTGTTATTATTATTATTATTATTATTATTATTATTGTTTGATAACAAGCTTCCATCTTTAACTTTTTTCTGTTGGTTGCAATAACAGAATTTTTCAGGCCATGCTACACGTGACGCAGGAATGCTAAAAAGTATGGCTGATATTATGCGTGAAGATGATTTCAAGGATGGTGAATTCGTTGCAAAGAGGATCAAAGTTACTGAAGTAGATACTGGTAATTTGGTAAAAGAAAAGAACGAAGAGCAAAATCTGGATATCCATGCGATAGATGAAAATGTGATCAAGTCTACCATATCAATGGATCGGACTGGAAGCAATGTTGAAGAAAAATTGTTTGGAGAGGTTGATAAGCAGATGCCTGAATCTAATAAAACCTCAAAAGATATTATGTCATGCAGTTCCAACGAAGTTCAAGACCAGTTTGTCGGTAATTTATGTGATATGGATGCTGCTGCAGCAGAAGACAAGGGATCCAGACACACAATGGAGGATGCTTGGGTGGTTCTTCCTGATGCAAGCATGGATTATCCTGGAAAATTGAGGTTTTCTGTTTTTTTTTTCATTATTATTAGTCACTCAGCTTTTTTATATAAACACAAATTTTAGAAGTAGCCACTATTTTGCCCTTCTTGTTAGGTGTTTAGTCTAGCACATGCTGGAGAGCTTTCATGGTTGTACCTACCTTTGAAGCAACTGCTGCAGCTAGCTAAACCTAACGACTGTTTAGAAAACTATATATTGTATATGTTGTTAGTTATAAAACTCTGAACTACATTGGAGCAAACAGTGTGATGCAATCAAAATTTAGGAAACTAAGATTGCAAATAAAATTGACGTCTTCCTTTCAAAATAACTTAAACAACACCACAATATAACATAACAAAACACCACCTAATAGGACAGAACTAAGTTTCTAACAACTCTTAGAAGCCATCTCAAATTTCATTAAGACAAGACAAGATGCAAATACTTTGCAACTTACAATTTAACACAAACATTTTAAGAGAAGAAATATACAAATGGAAGAGTTACCATGGAGAGAAGAAAGAGATAGAAGTCCGAGACAAATTTTAAGAAAAGAAGGGGAAAGGAGACTTAGCTCGCAAGTTAAAAAAAGCCTTAGGTTTTATTTACAAAAATTCTCATTTTTTCATTCCTAAAAACTTTTTAAAACAACCCAAAACTCCCCTATAAATAGGAAAAGAAAAGGAGGCCAAAGGCCATGCTCAGTCGCCCCATACAACCAACCAAAAGGGGAGGAAAAAGGTAGCATTAAAGCCACAGAAGAACCCACCAGAAATCGGGAAAGGCAAGGTTCAATAGCAGAAACGGAACATCCCTGACTAGGGAATCGAAAAAGCCAGACAACAGAAACCCAAAAGCCAAGCCAAGGGAACATGAACTGGACAGTCAAGGTCGAGGGAACCGGGAAAGCCAGAACCGAACAGGCAAAGCAAGGGCAACCAGGAAAGCAATAGCAGAAACGGAACATCCCTGACTAAGGAACCCAAAAAGCCAGACAACAGAAACCCAAAAGCCAAGCCATGGGAACAGGAACCGGACAGTCAAGGTCGAGGGAACTGGGAAAGCCAGAACCGAACAGGCAAAGCAAGGGCAACCGGGAAAGGTAGGGAGCAGGAGCAATTCAGCCCCCGCTCCCCCCCCCCCCCAAAAAAAAAAAAAAAAAAAAAATATGGGGGAGGCTTGCTTACATCAATTCTCCCTTAGTGGAGAAATCTCATCTCCTAATGAGTTCGATTCAAAATTATGAAGATATGACACTTCTGATTCCTAAATTAGCATGTCATACATTCTTTTGATGATCTCTTTTTCTCGTTCAAATTCGGTTAAGAGTTGAAGTTTCTTAGAATTGTATCTCTCGGCACATAATTGCAGTTGTCTTTGAATCTTGAGAAGCTCGATCTGTAGAGGATTAGAAGAATATGCATGAGGAACCCATTTTGTTGTTGGAAGATTGTCCAACAGGAACCCAAGGCATAGTTAGATGACTTTCTTGATTACCTTCAATTGGTTGTTTGTTTTGACTTTTCGTTAAAAAAAAAAAAACAAACCATAACCTAGACGCTCTGATACCAAATTGATGAAACGAAAATTTAGGAAAGTAAGATTGCAAATAAAATTGACGTCTCCCTTTCAAAATAACTTAAACAACACCACAATATAGCAGAACACAACACCACCTAATAGGACAGAACAAAGTTTTTAACAACTCTTAGAAGCCATCTCAAATTTCATTAAGACAAGACAAGATGCAAATACCTTGCTACTTACAATTTAACACAAACATTTTAAGAGAAGAAATATACAAATGGAATGGCTACCATGGAGAGAAGAAAGAGATAGAAGTTCCAGACGAATTTTATGAAAAGAAGGGGAAAGGAGACTTAGCTCACAAGCTAAAAAAATCCTTAGGTTTTCTTTCCAAAAATTCTCATTTTTTCATTCCTAAAAGCTTTTTAAACATCCCAAAACTCCGCAATAAATAGGAAAAGAAAAGGAGGCCAAAAGCCATGCTCAGCCGCCCCCTACAACCAACCAAAAGGGGAGGAAAAAGACAACATTAAAGCCACGGAAGAACGTACTAGAAATCGGGAAAGCTAAGGGTCAATAGCAGAAATGGAACAGCCCAGGTCAGGGAACCGGAAAAGCCAGACAATAGAAACCTAACAACCAAGCCAGGGGAACAGGAACCGAATAGCCAAGGCCCAGGGAACCGGGAAAGCCAGGAACTGAACAGGCAAAGCAAGGGGAATCGGGAAAGCCATGGAGCAGATCACGCATGTGTTTCTTGGGATCGACCCAATCAATGTGTACCATAATTTATTGTTTTGATTATCCTAGTTGAAGAACGAAGATTATAGTTCATCTTTATTTTATATGGTTAGATTTTCTTCTATATTTGCATGTTTGGCTTGAATGCCAGAGATCACTAAAAGTTCAAATAAGCATTTGGTTTGAATCAAGGTCGCATGGAAGTCAATAAGCCCATTAACGAGCCCACCCCAACTCAGATCAAACTTATATTGAGTCGAGCCTTGAACGAATCCAGCTAGCTACAGATCTGATTGAAATACATACGGATATATGTATGATCGATGTTGAACTAAAAATTTGTGTTATGAGATTGAAAATCGATTGAAGTAAGATTGGTTTTAGTTCACGTCAAAGTTAATGAGCAATTCTTGATTCAAATCAAGATTTAATCATGCCAGTCTATGGCTTGTTTTTAACTCTATTCGAGATTGGATCGAACAATTTAGAACTAGGGTCGTATCGGCTCAAGATCAGATCATTAACCACTCTCTAGATTTTTTTTGGCTTCACATATAAATGTACAGAGACATTTATATTTTATCGATAATTAGAGATCTCTTTACTAAATTTAAGGCAAAAAACCTTAAAACTTCTACCTGTTACTATCTCAATTGTTTGATATCCTTTTATAAGTCCTTGTATTTGGCCCTAAAGAAGCACTAAGAATTCTTTCTTACCTTCAACAGGCTGTTCGATCCACCATCCCCCCCTCGCCTGTTGCTCTTCACTTGAATGTTTGACTTTACAGGAAAAGATGTGTTTGTTTTCAGATTTGACTTCGATTTCGCAGCTCTCATAGTTCTTAATGCTTGTGGGTCATTCTTCATAACTTCCAATGGCAACAGCTTTTGTTGGTGTGTCTTTCAGCATTTTTTCCTGACTGTCATAGATCTTTGTGGCCATTTTCTTGCTACTGCAATTCTAAGATGTGGCCAAAAAATATGATCTTTGCCTTTACTGATCTGATTGCCTAATGCCACGGAAAATAATGAAATAAAGCAGAGCACAAGAATGATGTCTGATTCAAGGGCACACAGAATGCCCATGGATGGTGGGCAACTTGAAGAAAAACCACGACAATTCCCTGAATGATGTCATCCAAATATTTAGAAATGCATCATCCAATTTTTTTTTGATTTCAGGTTATTATAGCAACTTTTAGTTATTATTGTAACATTTCACATTTGATTTCCCGAAGAATTTTATGCTTAAAATATTTGGGCTTTTGAGCCCTATTTTAAAAACAGTACTAGCTGGGATATATTACGGTAATATTTTTTATAGCTTGCACATTAGGCTTTGTTTCGCTCTGCTTATTTACTACTTTAACTGTTAAAAAATAGTTGATCAATGAAAAATAATGGATTAGAAATTTTTCATTTTGCATGTGCACCTATTTATGACTCCTTCAGCATATGCACTGATTTATGGAGCAATTTGCGTTTCTATTGAAGAGTATAATTATTTTAATATATACAGTAAAACAAAAGCTCAGTGTCAATACAGCTGAATAGAATGCTTAGTCCCGCTATTCTATTCTTTTTGGTGGTTGACTCATGTTGCTTTTTTTTTTTTAACAATTTTTTCTGTTTCCTTTTACTAGCTTAATTTGTGTTTAGGCGCTACTTATTTTATACTGTGAGCCTTGCATGAGCATAAGTTGGCAAATCTTGCAGCCCTCAACAAGAAGGGATAAATAAGTTTTCTTTCTGATGACCCTGAATAGTTGGGATTAGGCAAATAATAATTCCTATGTCAGATTATATACACTGCGTATGACTGCAAACATTATCATCTGAAAAAGTGAGCTAGGCATAATTGGAGGAATAACAATTATATGAAATGGATATCTTGACAACATAATTGGAGGAATAAAAATTATGGAGTTCACTGGGAGCCAACTTGTTAATATGTGTGATTTGGCACATTGATCAGAAGTTGTGTTCAGCACCTGTTTGAAAAAAATGTTTTTTTTATGGCATTTGCATTATGAACTGACAACTTGGTGCCATGTCCATCTATCTTTCATGTATTCATAAAACTAGCAATATCAGCTAATTAAGCACGATAACTTTAAAAACAGATAGGCATGGCTCTGAATCAAATTATGTTTGCATGCTATGAGAGTTTGGTACATCAGAGTTATTTTGAGTATGTGTAGAAAATGTAACTTATTGAATTACATGTTGTGGCACATTTTTTTATCCATGATGAGGGTATTAATGGTCTTGTTAGGCAGTCATATGAGCTAGAGCTGGTTACTTTTCTACATTGTTTCATATATCATATGAATTTATAGTTTTCAGGCACAAAGTTTTTATTGAATGCCATGACTATATATTTGCTGAGCCTATGATGCTTTAAAACTTGATTTGTTTTATTTAAATTATAGCCTGGTCATATGCTTGATATGTGGGTTTTTACCGGCTTTTATTATGAAATAACTCCCCCTCGGCGGGTATCTCTCTCTACATCTTGCTCATCCATGAAACTGTCATATGCTAGAGCTTTATCTTGTTTCAGACCTTTTCGATAATTTTATGTAGTGCTCATAGTTATTTTCTCAATTGACTTTGCTTGTTGTGTCTTTATGGGTGTCATATCATTCTTTTTAATATCATGCTCAAGTACATCCCTTACATTTTTCTTTCTTCCTATTTTGTAAATCTTAGTGTGGATTCTCTTTTATCTTGAAATGAGTTGCAATCTAAATGAGTGAACTTCATTTTTCCGTTCTTATTATGTGGTTTGATTACTCCATTTGTGGAAGAATGGCGATCATTTTGATGTGGATACCTACAATTTCACATTTGGTCATATACTCGGTCTCTCTGAGTAGTGATATATAACCATTACAATGTAATTCACAGTACAGATGCTGATTAGTGGTATTATGGTTTCTATGCACATGCCAATGCCAATGTATAATTACTTATCGATCATGTTTATTGGTAAGTTGTTATTTATTACTCAACAACATTTTTTTTGTAGATGTGCGCATTTTGCAATTTATGATGGGCATGGTGGTCGTCTTGCAGCTGAATATGCACAGAAACATTTACATGCAAACGTGCTTTCAGCAGGCTTACCACGTGAGTTGGTCTGTGTGCATTTTTTCCAGCTAGCAAGATATTAAATTTAAACGTAGTAATTTAAATTACATCTCTGTTTATTCTGTGACATGTTTTTAAGATGATAAAAGTTCCATAGTTTAAACCGGCCTAATTTTAGTGAGGATTGACTTTCAAATGGGCTTGGGACACGAATGTTCCATAACTACCATAATTCCGTTTTATCGTATGCAAACCATTTTTGCTAATATATAGTTGTTTTGTCATTGTGATAGGAAACACTTGAGTTCCCAAGTGTTTCTCACCAAAACTGAAGTTGATCCGATGGAAACTGCTGTCCACAGCAGAAATACAGCAGAAATCTGCTGTTTACAGCAGAAAAACAGCAAAACGACAAGGAAATCTGAGAGAAAACTCAAAGAAAAGCTTGTATTCCACTAGTCGATGAATAAAATAGCAAGATACAATTGATCCTCAATTCGAGAGGAGGATCGATCTCTCCCAAATCTCTAGACGCCGCTAGAGCCCAAAGAAACCTAAATCTAAGAGATCTCAAATTTCAGCCAAATTCAAGATGCCCAAACCCTAGGAAAAACATCTATTTAATGCATACAAATCAAAAGGAATTCCCTAAACAGACCCTACATTCAAATTTCTCTCTGAAACCCCCCAAAAATCCTTCCTAAAACGCTCTATATGAGCGGTCGGGCTGCTCGTTCTGGTGGAGTCTCCGCCTGTTTCGCGATTTCGCCCCCGAACCGGTCCCGCCTGGATC